ACATATTATTAAAATATGGGCTATAACAGTTGTATTGATGTATAGCAACTTGAAATGCTCCCACAAATGGCACTACAGCATCTAAAAAATAATATAAGCTCTGGTGGACTTGATTCTATAGTAGGTCTTAAAGGGTTAAATAAATATCGTCAAATAATCGTGATCTCAATTTCAGTGAAAATAATCGTGATTATCATTTTTGCCATAATCGAGCAGCCCTACTCAGGAGGAACTTGGTACAGCTGCTGCTCTGCTGATCATTAGGAGCCAGTTCTGGCATCTGATTAGGATGCCCTCTGCACACCTCCTCGGAGAGGCATTTCAGGCATATCCAACTGGGAGGAGATCCCAGGGCATGAGAACATCGATTGAGTCGGTTCTGGGGTAACTTTAAAGTAAGATCATTAGAAACATCTCCATGGATATTCGTCAATCATTCACCAGCAACACAATGTTTAGCTTCCATAATGACAACTAATTAAAGTCACTTTTCCAGCAACTAGGCTAGAAAGTGAAACCAGTGCACAAGTGACAAAGGAATGAGTCTACTTTGTGTTGAATTCAAACACAAGCCCATTCAAATAAAAAGCGAAATAGTCAGACTTCTCCTCCAGTCATTAGCCCAGTTCAATCTTCCTGATCAGAGTGCCAGTTGTCATTTTGAATTTAATGTAATAATTTTATCTAGATATAAAAACTCACATCTGGGTGTAATTTGACTTTTGTAAATTTAATTGAACGCTAAATCCTTGCTCCGATATAAGACTATAAAACATGTCTTCCCAGCCCCGGTAATACTCACCCTCTTTTCCAATATCTCATTCTTCAGCTCCGTCATCCGATTCGTGTTCCTGGCAAATTTATTGATCTTCTGCTGGTCTTCAAACGTTACATTCACATCTTCAACTGCCTGCAAACAAGGAGAAATGACTTGAGGTTGCAGTTCATTTTAGCCTGTTAAACATGACAATCCTAGATGCGCTGACAGAATTTAACTCATTCTGCTATGAGTTATAAGTATTGATCAGCAGCAACTTTTCCAAAGATGAAATCACAAGCATTACAAAGACATGCTGTGTTAACTGAAAAAAAAAAAAAAAAAGACCCACCACCTTATGAATGGAGAAGCATTTAGTAAGATTAAAGCAAGCCTTATAAATAAAGAATGTGTGGTGGTGTTGTTTTAAATCAAGCGCAAGGAATAAAACTAAAGAGCTGTATTCAGTTTCATTTAGAGTGACCAAGTGGCCTACTTTATGCAGGATTGCACAATGTTTTTATTTTTCACCTCCTGTCCTACATTTCGAATTGGCTCCAATTCACCACAGCACAGGTCTGGCTTTTGGCCGACTATATAACGAAATCTACCACAAATAAAAGTTATGTGGTGTGTTTTTGCTGGCACTAGACTGCAATTTCCCTTTTGAGAGAGTAGAATCAATAAATAAACTATGCATTTTTCATTTGAACCTCAAATACATGTAATCTGGTTGATTTGTCCAGTGCTAACGGAAATTTATCAGCGCATCCCTCCTCAAAACAAAGATTATTAGGAGGGGAACAGCAGATGAAACACCAGAACAAATATTAAACAAGTACTGCCAACCAAGACCATTGCATTAAAAAAAATAAAAAATAAAAAGCAACAGCTGGAAAATTGGTTGTAAAGGTGCATATAGATTTGTACCCGTCAGTCACATCCTCTGCAACCCGCATAGCTTTATCAGACTGCCCTCTTAGCATTAGCGTAACCCACATTGTCCAACACATGAAAACTATTTGCTCCACATTTGGCTTGTTGTGATATGGTCATCCTACTGTGCTGTTGGCCCCTCAGAAACATTTAAATATAAACTGAGTGAGACTGAGCAGGGTATTGGTCATTTATTGGGGACATATACTGCTTTAGCTTGTCGTTTCTTAGACAGTTAACTACAGGCCGATTTTTATTTTGTTTGCTAGCATGCTAGCTTGGGTGTCCCATCACCTGCAGCGGCCACTGCCCTGATCTGGATATTGAGCTCATTGTTTCACCACATAGTTGTTAAGCTCGCACGAACAACAGCTGCAAAATTACAACGTATGTCGAGCTAGTGTTTTAACCCAAGGAGATATCGCTTTACGGTAGCTACACGAGGGTGTGACGGCGCCTTCAAATATCACCGCCGTGAGAAAGCTCGGCGTCTTACTCGCACACATACACGATGCCACCTTCTTTCTGCATCCCCTCTTAAAACAGCGATAGAGTAACGCATATGCAAGACAAAAAAGTGGATTTTTGTTTAAAAATATTGCTTACCACGGATGATTTCATGGTCGCTGCCATCTTTGCTTCTTCGACTGTTCACCCGCAGCGTCGCTCAGCGGGATAAATATCCCGACACTGCCACCTATCAGCAGGCCTGATCTGGAGTTTGACCCCCACAAGTTGGCCAGAAAATGTGTTTACTTCTCTCAAACTGTTTGTTTAGTTCTTTTCCTTCTTTTTGAGTTTTCGTGTGATTGATTTGTATATTTAGTTGAGTTCATGTTCTGGTAACTATAGTTAGATATGTCGCAAGATGCTTTCCCTTACATTTACATCTAGAAGCTGAAATTTGACTTATTTAAAAAACAATTCAGCCATTTTTTTGTTCTGTTGTAGGTAATTATCTCAATAAATGTGCAAACGTGTTTTACACTGGTTGTGTAAAGCACTTTGGGGTCCTTAGGGACCAGAAAAGCGCTATACAAATACAGGCCATTTACCATTTCAATACGCCAAACAAGTTATTATGCCAACCGGAACTGCTGTTCTGTAAATATTTGCACACAGTACTGCACCCAAGTTCAAATATTTAATGAATACATCTGTAATGGGAGAAGACTAGAAATTCATATTTGTCTAGACCGAATTACAATGCACCACCTGTAGTTTTAAGCATCACTGGCATTTTAGTCTGAGTGAAAAACAAATCATAAATATGCAGGTTTTTCTGTCTCAAAGTCAGCAGTCTTTATCTAACTTTGTAGGAGCCACTAGCATACCTAGTAGGCTGTTACGCGTTGGTGCACCATGAAGAGTTTTCTTGAGGCCCCTCAGCTGCAGGCCTTGCATGAAGTCACCAAACAGGGGAATCCAACTCCCACCTCAGCATGCAGTCTATAGGATACAGTCGAGCCATTGTTTTCATGGATTCCAAGGCTTGCCATAATAAAGTCAATAAATAGTGCACATGTTATAGTCTTTTTTTTAGTTTGTTTGTTAAGCATGCTTGTTTGTGATAAAACGCTTTCACATACTTTGGTTGACATCTTCCAGGAGTCAAATGACTTCTAGAAGTTAAATCCAATAAACAAAAGCCTTTGTCAGCATTATCATGGCCTAGTTACAAAAAAAAAAACATAAAGATGAGTTCATCTTCAATACCATATTGACATACACTGGTAAACAATAGTATCTAACTATGGACACACAGCAGCCTTTAAACACAGACATTTTGACACACAGCTTGTTACCCGCCTTGATAACCTCTTTTCTTTTTTTATCACATTATACCAAAACAACATAATGGGTATGTTAAAGCACATCTGTGTGATTAGATTTATTTTTTATCAATCAACTGCATCTTTAAAAACTAAATCAGTAAGAAAAAATGCTTAAAGTGTTATCTTCAAATTAACCAGTGCCAACATAGTTATTTTGGGTTTTGTCAGTGTGGATGCTTGCCAGACCAGTATCCTTAATATACATCCTGTTAGGTCCCCGCCAGATTGGTCAACAAACTGTTTGGACCGCCTTATCACAGCAGGCTTGGACAGATTCACACCTCATTATGATCTCGTCAGGGTATGTTCAGGATGCCACATGGAGATTACTGTGAGTTGATCAAAGTACCAATACAGCGCACTTTCTTTTTTTTCCAGAGGAAATCCAGCTGCCAACTTGAAAACAGACCCACCCATTTTGACACACACATAAAGTGTCCAGTTAACAAAAGTCTATATACATAGTTGGGCAAAAGGAGGAAGTCCATCTCAGACAGACACGCCGTATCCTTAAGAAGGAAGTCAAGTAACAAGGTAAGACATTTCACTGAAAGCAGTATTAAAATGTTTAAATGGCTTTGCAAAAGTCTTAATAGATGTTAACCATTATTTGCAGATTGTCTTTGCTTATCAGTACAACATAACAATATGACATTTCTATTTCATTTAATTCTATTGCAACCTGCAGATCTTAACTGGGAAAAAGATGGGAAACGAGCAGTCAGTAAACATAGAAGAGCTATCCAAGGTAAAACAATGCAAATTACATGGCAGACATTACAGGCTAAAAGTTGCACGTGCCATTTTCTATATTTGATGACATCAGTCACAAGATGCACACTTTTCCAAAACTCTAGCATGCACAGGTGACAGGTGAAAGAACTCTGCTTCTCTTTAAAGATAACCCATCTAGACTAGAAAGCACAATGCTGACGTTGCTATTTACTCACAGAATGGGACAATTCCTGAAAAGCATGAGAATGGAACCGTGAATGGCATCTCTATAGAAGTCACGTCTGGCGGACTGGAGATTAATGGTACATGAGTTTCATTTTATTTTTAATTTCTCTTAGGATAAATAACATCCAAGTAATCTGTGATGATGTTCTGCCTGATCTACAGTGGTGGTGCCACTGTAAAGCATGAGCAAATCAATGCTCAACACTGGCAAATTAAATTCTTACTTAAGAATGAATTTTATTAATGTCAGACTGTTGTGTTTTACTGTATCACGCTTTATGCTGATATACTTTAAGGTTCTCCTTCAATGAAAAAAAGCAAATTAATTTTACAAATTTATTAGTGGTGATTAATCCTTTAATCCTTTTAATACTCTGCAAACACAGTGACTCCCAGTTGCACGGTGTCTGAGTAAACCACAGGTGTTTTCTCAGGAATTAACAAGGAGCAAGTATTTGACTTGTCAAGGTGTGGTGGTTTGTGTCTTCACTATAAAAATAAAATACTGTGGGATTCCCATGGCTCTTGACTGTTGATTCCTGAGATAACGTTCTCACACTGACTTGCCCGTGTTTACTAGCTCGTGGAAATTTTGCTGAATTTTATGACAACTGTTTAAATTATCTTTAAGCTAGAAGTAAAAATCACTCTATGGGCTAATACTAAACAAAATGACACTTATGTTTAAAAATAAATTCCATAAAACCCAGAAATGTTCATTTTGACCCTTTTAAGCTGACTCATTAGGGGGATGTTTGTTAAGGTGGAAGTTCATAGAAAAGGTCCAGAATCAGAATCAGGAAATCGCTTTGTAATAGACATTTAATTAAGGTGTAATAAGGTGTGTCATTCAAGCTGCAAAATATTAAATAAATACTTCAAAGCTAAAAAAAAAAAACTATGTGCAGTATTTACAAGATTCAACAAATGATGTTGCCAGGTCCAGATGTCGCAGGGAGGAACTGATACATTTTAACAGGAGTGATGTGCTTTGACGTTCCATGTTCCATTGCTGTGGTATTAGCCTTTGGTGAATGTGGTCCTATTACTGCCTAGCACATCATGGACGCAAAGTGAAGCATTATCTATGAGTTCACATGACTTTGACATTTTTCGCCAAGCTCCACAATTTCCAGATTTATGGGCCTTGAGGATTACTTTGTTGAGTTTGTCGGTGTCCATAAAGGTGCTTAATGTAGTTTCCTTTAGTTAAAAGTAACAAAACACTTTCCCCAAATTAACTAAAGCTATGACATGATGCACTTGTTAAGACTTTGGTTTTAAAATCTCTATATATTGTGTTGAAGAGATATCAACTGAAATGGAACTAGAGCTGGGCTGCACTTTCATGCAATGCCAATTTGTACCACTAGGTGGTATAGTAAGTCCATGTAATCTTTATTTAAACAGACAAGTAATTTATTGTTGTTTACAATGGCAGCCTGGCAAAATGCAAAATATCCAAAGAAAGAAAGAAAGAAAGAAAAAAAGAAAGGAAAAGCACCACCACACATCTGAAAACATCTGAACACACCCAGTGGTAAAATGTTGCTACCTGGTCTTTAAGCATATATGTCCAACTGTTATTTTATAGTAATTTTTTTCCTGAAAAAAAAAAAGAAATTTAGCCTGGGTTTAACAATAGTTTCAGTCCTTTGTTTCAATGTTTTTCCTGTATGTGGCATTTTGCTTATTTTGCCACTTTTTTATTTTTCAGGTAAAAGTGAAACTACAGTCTGCCAAAATGGCAAGGCCCACTCTTTAAACTCTGCCATACAATCAACTGATGTGATCGTCAAATCAGAGTGTCAACCTGATATTGCCCAAGCCGTTTCTGAAGCCTCTGACACCAAAATCCAAGCTGTTTCTGAAGCCTCTGACACCAAAATCCAAGCCGTTTCTGAAGCCCCTGACACCAACACCCAGAAGGAAGAGGTCAAGAAAAGCAAAGGAGAAAGAGGTCGTCGTCATTTTGGCAAATTGTTCAAAAAGAAAACAGAACCTAAAGCTGAAGCTGAGACTGTTGAAGAGAAAGAAAAAGAGACACAGAGTGAAGATCAAGTGGATGTAAATGTTCCTCCCACTGAGCCACAGCAGGTGAGGGCACTTTTCATGTTTATTCTCATCAGATGAGTCTAGTTGTTTTTTTCTATTTGCCAACAAAACTGTGAAGAGACAAGCGGAGCAAGTCAGGTTACTTTGCATAGCACATTTTACACACAAGGGCAATTCAAAAGGATTTTCTAATGTACGGATGAATGGCCACTGGAATCTATGATGTATGAACTGCAATGAAAGTATGCAAAAACACAAATAAACTCATAGTAGAATTTTAAAGGTAATGGCAATGTTGCCATATCAATTAAAAGCAATGGGAAAAGGAAAAGTCTTTAGCTAAGTTTTAAAAACTGATCAATTATGGTAAATTATGATAACGCTCATGTTGTGCAATAGACCTCCATTGATTCTGAAAAACAACAACAATAATGTAAATACATATAGCAGATACAATGCTTGCCCTTAATTGAAAAAAAAATAAAATGGAACCACACACCTTCCTTTATTAGAGCGAGCACACACACTGTGTTGTGTTTCTGAATTATGTTATTTTATCATTCTGCAGCTAACATTAACTAAAACAGAGTAAGCAGGAGTGCATATGCCC